GCTGTATGTGGGACTCGGCCTCAGGATGAACGGAGAAGTGGTGCCTCGATGCGCACCCGGGATCCGAACCCGGGCCACCAGCATCGCAGCGCGCACACTTAACCACCAAGCCACAGGGCCGGCCCTACCTTTCCTATCTTTGGTAACCAAAAGGTGAGAGCCCTTTAAATTGAAATCTCCTTAGTTATGGTATTTACTGCTTCTCAGCTTGGAGTTCAAAAGCCCATCTGAATTATATATTAGACAACATTGTGTAGTGAAAAAGTTGGAACCTGGGCTCTGTTCACCAGCTAATTGTGTGGCCTTGGACAAGCTACCTCCACCCTGGAGCCTTAGTACCCTCTTTTGTAAAATGGGAACAATAATACCTTCTTCAGGTGCCCAGAGCATGGGAAGCTCTCGGTATTTGTGGTGTGGAAGTGTTCAATATCAAAGTGCCAATTCTTAGAAAGTTAGTGTTTTACTTAAGCTTAAAATTAGCCTTCACACTTGAATTGCAAATTGGTCCCTAATTAATGCCCTTCAGCGCAAAATCTGTGTTTAACCTGACTTGATGCTTAGAGCAAAACCTTTTGAGCCGAGAGGAAACTAACGTTAGTCACCAGGGTCTACTGCGTGCCATCGCCCCTTCTCGGGTGAGGCCGGTGGATCCAGAACTTACACTGGGAGTTATTCACAAATATTTACTGTGTCTGTCCTGCAGACCCAATACTAAGCGACCTCACTCACCCTGACTCTTCACCTCTGCCCGGCTCGGCCCCTGGCCTCAGATCTGGTTTGTTGCAAGGCGCCCAGTGTGGGAACCCAGACACTTAGTTCCCTCTTGTCAGTCAAACAGTCCGAGTCAGGCCCACTCTGAGCCACGCACTGTTCCCAGCACGAGGGTCACACAGCACATCTAGGTCTTCAGGGGGATGTCCCCCATCCTACCTGCAGAGGACCCCACCTCCCCCAGAGGAGAAACTGAGGCAGCGCCCCAGGAAAGCAACTCCAGGTCCCCTAGGTCCACCTCGACTCTTCCCTCAGCCCCCATTCCTCCCGGTCCCCACGACCCCCTTTCTCGGACCCCCACCCTCGCTCTCCCGGATCGCCACGCTCGGAGCCCGCGGCCCGGAACCCCACGCGCGGGCAGGTGAGGGCGG